ATTCTTCATTTTACATTTATACATAATTACATTCCTTCTTAAATGTTTAATAACTGGGAGTAGAATGCCCCTGTGATATTCAATTCATAACTAAATAGGTTGCTAATCTATAAACTCAAGGATGATCTATAAACTGCATTTTCTGGAATGTTAGAATGTTTGTTACATACAAATATAATTTATATTCACTGAAATTTAGAAAGAATGTTTGTGGTAAAATATTGAATTTGTTCCCCTACATTATCATGACCTATTTACTGACTTCTAACTCTACCAACACACAAACACTATAAATCATCTTGAGAATTAGGGAAAGTACATCGAGATATTTCTCCCTGGTGATTTTTTTGTTCATGAATAATTTCAAATCTCTGTAACTTAATTTGTAAATTTAATACAACCTCACGAAAATATTTTATGAAACTGGACAAGATAATTCTAAATTTAATTAGGAAAAGAAAATGCGAGGAAATAGCCAAGAAAGTTTTCAAAAGAAGAAACGAAGGAGAAAATGTTCCCGACAGATATAAAAGCGTGAATAACCATGTATATATTACATGATACATTGCATACATCCTGGCAACCGAGATGTTGGAACAGGGTTGACGTATGAAACCATGGAAGAAAACAGAGATTCCTGGACGGGGTACAGTGGAAAGTTAGATCTTATCTCATGTGGTACAAGAAACAGGAAGAAAAAATGCTCTGAATTGTGCATAAAAGCACATTTGACAAAACTGGGGTACAGAAGACCTTCTTAAGAAAGATACAAAACACAGACGTGAAGGAGTATGGTGATTTTGCATCCAAATTTAAAACTTGCATATAGCAGAAACCTATAAACCAGGTAAAAAGATGAGAGAACATATCCACTGTGTCCACAAAGGATTTCTATTCAGAGTATATATTTACTTCAACACCTATAAGTCAATTTTTAAAAATAGACAAACAACCCGATAGGTAATTACACCAAGTTTATGAACAGTTTAACAAAGGCCCTCTAAGCATACACATAAAAATGTTTTCACCTTTACTAACCATCCTGGAAATTATTTAAAACATCTAAGATGCAGCATGTTATCTCCAGCAGAATGACTTCCTCTGTTTGACAATACACCTTAGGTAAGAGCGTGAGTGGCGACCGACTCCTGGAGGGCATCTTGGCACGTCTGTCGCTAGTTCTGACAGGTGGACCCCAAGTGGATGCATTGCCATGGTGCCTCCGTCCTGACTTCTGGAAGACGAGTCCCCTGTCTGCCTGCTGCGTGAGACACCCCCAGGGCCTCGCTTAGTTCAAGAGTGCACCCTTACTGTTGGGCCTAAAATTGACATCTTTTTTTTTTTTTTAATACTTTTAGTGTTTATTTATTTTTGAGAGAGGGAGATAGAGCACGAGCAGGGGAGAGGCAGAGAGAGACAGAGACACAGAATCCGAAGCAGGTTCCAGGCTCTGAGCTGTCAGGAGAGAGCCCAACATGGGACTTGAACTCACAAACCTTGAGATGATGACCTGAGCTGAAACTGACCCACCCAGGCACCCCTGCCTTGACATCTTTGAGCCTCATGGGGCCCCAAAGGCCTGTGAGTTCCTCTGCTCACACAGATATGCCCCTGGCCCAGTAGGAACGCCTCCCTGCCTTTCAGCTGTTCTCGGCCAAGTGGGGTCCAGCTCCATAGATGATTCCTATCAGAATCCCAATTGACCTCTCTGCAGAAATTAACAGATAATAGAACTTGCATGGAAATTCAAGGGACACAAAACAGCCAAAACTTTCTCGGAAAAGAAGACAACATTGGAGAACTCACACCTCACAATTTCAAACTTACTACAAATCTACAGGGATCAGAACAGTGTCAAGCTTGAATAACGAAAGACATAGGTCAATAGAATTGGGAAACCAGAAATAAATCCTTGTGATTACAGTCAATGGATTTTCAATAAGGGTACCAAGGCAATTCACGGGGGAAAGGACAGTCTTTTCAACAAATGGCGCTGGGACAACTGGACATCCACACGCATAGAATGATGTTGGCCCCTCACCTAACCCCCTACAAAGTCAACTCAAAACGGGTCAAAGATCAAAATGTTAGCCCTACAACTATAAAACCCACAGAAGAAAACATAGGGGTAAATCTTCATGCACCCATATTAGGCAGCAGTTTCTTAGATGTGAAAGTACAAGCAAAAAGAAAAAATGCACAAATGGGACATTACCTGCATGAACAATGCTTCAGCTTCCAAGGACACCGGCAAGAGAGTGAGAGCACAAATCGCAGAATAAGAAAATTTGCACATTACCTCTCTGTTAAAAGTCTTGTACGTAGAGTAGAAAAAGAATTCCTGCAGCTCAATAGTAAGGAACCCAGTAGATGTTTCTGCAAAGAAGATATCAAAATGGCCAAAAAGTTGGGGTGCTTGGGTGGCTCAGTCGGTTACGCGTCTGACTCTTAATCTCAGCTCAGGTCATGATCCCAGGGGCTGAGTTCAAGCCCTGTGCTGGGTCCCGCACTGGGCGTGAGGCCTACTTAAAAAGGCAAAGGGTCAGAAAGCAGAGAAATTGGAAGGGACCCTCACACAGTGCTGGTGGAGACGGAAAATGGTACAAGGGCTTCGGAAAACCACCTGGCCGCTGCACAAAGGACTGAACACATGCGGTGACCATGACCCAGCAGTTCCGCTCCTGGTGGTGTGTGTGGGAGAGAGGAATGCACAGGTCCACACAGAAACTTGCACACGAATGTTTAGAGAGCACCATTTGCAACCCCCGAGAGCTGGAAAGAAACCAAATATCCATCAGCTGATGAACGGAGTACAACAGGTAGCACACAATGGAAGATTATGGGTGAACTGCAAAAACATTATGGCAAATGAGAGAAGCCAGGAGAGGGAGTGAGGGAGGGAGGGAGGGAGACAGAGAGAGAGAGAGAGAGAGAGAGAGAGAGAGGAAGGGAGGGGAGAGGAGGAGGGAAAGGGAGAGAGACAGAGAGAGAGTGACAAAGGAGACAGAGAGACAGAAAGAGGAAGAGACAGGGAGAGACAGAGAGAAAGAGAGACACACAAAGAGAAAGAGGGAGAGACAGGAAGAGACAGAGACAGAGGAGATAGAAAGACGAAGAGACAGGGAGACAGGGAGGGAAAGGGACAAAGTACAGAACAGTGTGTACATGTTGAGATGTGTGTAAATACACACGTGTGTGCAGGGGGTGCATGGATGAGCTCAGAACGCTGAGCAAGGGGGGGCAAGAAGACCATCTCAGAGGGATCCCTGAGCTCCACACTATTTTCACAGTAACACAAGGACATCCTTTGTCGTCTGCACTGTATTACTGATTACCGTTGTCACTGATGCACAAACGTGACGGAGGCCAAAACCCCCAGTGCCTAGACACTGGTCAGGACACTGTGTCCTTCACGGTCTCGGGTCCCATAGGAAACTAAGGGCCAGCGGCACGCAAGAACAACCCTAGTGAGCTAGCAAAAGCCATGATTTCATCAATGTCCATCCCTAGGCGTGTATCCTGGGGACCCTGGCCAGTGAGGAGGGGAGCCTGCGCCCCACACCCAAACCGGAGTCGGTGGTGTTGGGGAGCCCACGCGGCAGAGCTGGGAGCCGGACTGGACGCTCGTTCCAGGGAACAGCCCCTCCGACCGAACGACAGCCTGTGGGTATTCGGATCCAGGTATGTCCTCAGGAATCACAGTGAGCTGCCCCCCGCATGAAGACAACTGCCCGTATTGGTTACCAACGGCAAATTCGAGTTTCTGGCATATGTTAGAATTTTGAAAAATCTCTACCACTGTGAGCTTGGCAGTGGCCCCACACTTAAAGACTTTTCTGATGATACAATATTCCGCGGGACAGAATGTTGCAGTGAGCGATATTAATTACTGTGATTTTTTTCCAACAGCATAATGAAACGTACCAACTCTTGGAAGTCCTGCTTACGTTGGTGAGCCTGTATTTTCCAAGCGGTAAACATACAATGTTATAAAATGATGCAGGGGAGGCGCGCGGGGGGGGGGGGGGGGGTTACAGGTGGTTGGGTGCCCGGCTCTTGATTTTGACTCAGGTGGAGATCTAATGGTTTACGACTTTGAGCCCCACGTCGGGCTCTGCGTTGACACCATGGAGCCTGCTTGGGATTCTCCCTCTCTCTCTGCCCCTGCCCTGCTTGCACTCTCTCTCAAATATGAAAATAAATAAAAATAAACTCAAAAACAATAATACAATAAAATGATGCATGGATTTAAAAAAAATCCAAAGTGCAAGATATGGCAGTGGGTTTTTTTTAATTTTTTAAATCTTTATTTATTTTTGAGAGAGAGAGGGACAGAGTGGGAGCTGGGGAGGGGCAGAGAGAGAGGGAGACACGAATCTGAAGCAGGCTCCAGCCTCTGACCTGTCAGCACAGAGCCCGACACGGGGCTCGAACTCATGAATGGCGAGATCATGACCTGAGCCGAAGTCCCCGCTTAACTGACTGAGTCACCCAGGCGCCCCTGGCAGTGGATTTTAATGTAAAGTGAGTCGATCTAGCTTCAGAGTTCACACCGTAAGGAGCCTTTAAGAGACCTTCGCTTGCCAAGTTTGGGTGTGGTAGCAAACACCTCCCCAAGGCTCACGGGGCTACTGCTTCTGGCCAGGCCGACTAACCTGGTAGGGAGGTCCCGGGCTTGGCGGGCCTCCTGCTGCCTCCCTGGGGCGAGGTGGGGGTGGGCACAGCGCAGCCGCTCGGAGGAGCAAACTCAGTCCTCCCCCTGGTCCCCAGGCTCCCTGCCCTCGGCTCACATGGCTGGCCGGCTGCCTCGCGCACCAGGAAGGCAGGGTCCCAGCCTGCCTGGCCTCTACCGATGCCCTGCAACCCTCTCCCCGGCCCCCCAGATCTCCCACCATTCCCGACGCTCTCCCCAGGCCCCCACCATTTACAATGCTCTCCCAGCCCCGGCACCCCCGCCATTCCCAACGCTCTCCCCGGCCCTGCACCATTTCCCGCGTGCCTCACTCAGCACCTGTCTACACCTGCGTCTTCCCTGTTCTTCGTGAACCCATAGCCTCCTCACTTGGGCTCAGCCACCCCAGTGAGATCACGCCTCTCGCGGCCGCCCTCGGCCTCCCCACGACCACTTCGGCGTGCTCCCCTTCCCGTTGTGAAACCTCCTCCCCACGGGACTCACCTCTCGCCTCCCCTCCTGGCTCTGCCGTCCCGGAGGTCCCATCCCTGCAGCGTGGCTGGTTCGCGCTGGTCTCCCCCAGGGCCCAGGGGTGGGCGTGTGCACGTTCCGACGCGTGACGACGACCGCCTGCGGCCCCCACGCCCCTTCCGCACGGCTCCCATCTGCGCGCGCTGACCAGAAACCCGGAGCTCCCGCCTTTGGTGCCGGCGGGACGTTCGGGGCCCGGGCCCCTGCCCGCGGGGAGCCCCCACCTCGGGCCGTGCCGGCCACGACGGCACCCGCAGCCCGCCTCCTGCTCTCTCAGCTCATTTCCGGCCGGCCTGGGAGGCCTGCCCGTTCTCCCGGAGACCTCGATTATGTCAGCGGAGGGGCCAGGAGATGCCATCCGGTCCTGACCTCCTCAGGTGTGGCCCCACCGTCCGTCGGTCCCAGGTGTGCTGTCGGGAATGAGAAAGAAACTCATCACAGCTGTTGCATTGACACAAAGCAATTAGGTACGCGCGCCTGGAGAGAGAGACGGAGCAGGGAGAGGGAGGGAGAGTCGGAGGCTGAGCCGCCCGGCCGCGCACCCGCCCCAGAGCATTAGGACAACCAGGCTTTTCTAGGGTCACACTTGGTTTTGTTCTTTCCGCTTGTTTACTTTTCTCCTGCACTTGAATATGAGCATGTATCACTTTTGTAATAAAGAGAATACGACAAATGTGCATTTTTAAAAATCTTTTTTAAGTTTTATTTATTTATATTGAGAGAGAGAGAGAGCGAGCACGAGCAGGAGAGGTGCAGAGAGAGGGACAGAGAGAGTCCCAAGCAGCCTCCACAGTGCCAGTGCAGAGCCTGATGCGGGGCTGGAACTCACAAACCCTGAGCCGAAATCAAGAGCTGGACGCTTAACCGAACGAACCCCCAGGCGCCCGACAAAGGTGCATTTTAATTTAAACCAAGAAGGAGTGCAGACTGGGCCCAGTGGGCAGGAGGATGAGCTGAGGGTCTGGAGGGAGGAAGGGGCCGCTCTCTGGGGAGCCTGTGGCTTAAATTTTCGATCTTTGGTCCCCCAAGTTACTGCCCTATCTTCAAGTTCCTTCGGGGGTGCATGGGAGGAAGGGATGGGTCGAGGATGAGACTGGAGTGTCCCCCCTCCTCCCTAAAATGACCCCAGCCTAGGGACTCACTGGCACATTTATTATGGAAAGAAGGTCCTGCATGGATGGAAACAGAGAAGTGTAATTTTAGGGAGGAGAAACCAGGGAGTTCGGAGGATTGAAACCAGGCTTCCACATGCCGAGAACCTGGGCTAATTAACCCCCACCACGGCGCCCCGGGGAGACAATCCCTGGGCACCGCCTCACATTGGGGAGTCTTAGCAAATGTCAGCCTCCTTCCTGCCCTCTCTCAAGTTCTGGAAAATTCTCCATGGGCAGACCTTCCAGGCTTCGTGGTCACAACGTGCTTTCATAATTAGTTCGGAGACAGCTTCACAGACCCCTTCAAGAGTGATGTCACTCATAATACTAATTGCCATCAGACTCTGTGGTGGGTCCACCCAGAGAGCATTGCCACAGCAGACGTTTATATGTGCAGGTGCCACAAAACCGGCCACAACACCCGGGTTTGCCCTTTGCCACTCACGGACGTTTCTAGTTTGTTTTCTCGTGCACTTATGTGATCAATAGAATATCAGTTTGTGAGTGAAACGCCCAGAACATGAGTAGTAAAGCAGCAGCTGTGACGTATTACTCAGTCCTGTGTTGCTCAGGTCCAACATATTTTCTTAGACTTTACATTCGTAGAATAAAACCATTTACAAAGTTCACACGCTCCACCCAGGACCGTAGAGTTTTAGGTTTTCCTGACCGGAGTGGATTCGCACCATCATGGTATTGTACAATAATAATCTGTGCACATCTACACGTCCTGAGTGGGGCTCTCCATTATGAATATCTGAGACGGTGAATAGAAACCCTTAAAACAGTAGGGGCGCCTGGGTGGCTCAGCCGGTTGAGCATCCGATGTGTCTGACTCTTGATGTTGGCTCAGGTCATGATCTCACGGTTCGTGGGTTCCAGACCCACGTCAGACTCCAAGTTGGATTCTCCAAGGAGCCTGACTTGGGATTCTCTTGGTCTCCCTCTCTCTCTCTCTGTGCCTCCTTGGCTGTGTGCCCACCCTCTCTCTCAGTCTCAACGTAAATAAGCAAACATTAAAAAAAAAAAAGAAACCTTTACAACAGCAACAGTCAAGAACCAAGAAAGAGTATCGTTAATACATAAAAGAGTATCGCTATTACGCTACAGAGAAACCCGCTCCTTGAAGGACTGTGTGTCAGGGGCTTTGGGCTCGAAGCAAGTTTGTTTTGTGGAGAGAGGTAAGAGTAAGCGAAAACGAAGCAAAAGCATTGTGGTGATGAGCGGCTGAATTCCCTGAGGGCTGTGTCCACACATTTCACAAACGTACACGGGTCATCCACATTTTAAGTGTTTTAATGTTTATTTGAGAGAGAGAGAGAGAGAGAGAGAGAGAGAGAGAGAGAGAGAGAGAACACAAGCGGGGGAGGGCCGAGAGAGAGGGAGACACAGAATCCCAAGCAGGCTCCAGGCTCCAGGCTCCAAGCTGTCAGCACAGAGCCTGACGTGGGGCTCGAACCCACAAACTGTGAGATCATGACCTGAGCTGAAGTCAGAGGCTTAACTGATTGAGCCACCCAGGTGCCCAGGACGTCCACATTTTAACCGTTCAGGCTCTGCAGGGCACACCCTTCCTCAGCAGTTGGTCTACTCGGGCTCCCCCTTTGCTGTGTGGACGGCTCCTCTGTGCCCGCCTCAGCCGGCTTCTTCCTGGGCGAGGCGCCAGCCTCCAGCTGCCCACAAGGGATCTAACAGCCCACAGAGCTGCGGCGTGGGCAGACTCGTCCGGGATGGGCATCTCCGCTTCTGGGACGGCTGCTCCAGTGGGGCCAGTCCCCCGGACGAGGCGGGAGTCCCACTAATGACATCACCTTTTCTAACCCAGCCCATCACCCACACCACTCCCACGGCAGGTGCGGGCTCCCTGGGGCCCAGGAGAGAGGACAGAGACACAGCCTCCTGCTGGACTGTCACACGAAGGCGTCCGTGCACCACATCCCAGATGTCACATCAGTCGGTGACGACTGCCCATTACATCGCTTCTTGGAGGACGCTGCTCGGAATTTCGTTTTACCTTGTTGGCTGCAGATAATATTCCTTTGAATCGTGTTTTGAAATGTGATCCTTTCATTTGCAAAGCCTCGCAGAAATGATAAAGAAAAATAAATGAATGAACCAGGGGTCCCCAGTGTCCTCGCCCTGGAAGCGGGCTCCGCATTTCATTTCATCTGGTTTCCAGCACTGGAGCGAGCGGACGAGGTCTTGTGGGCTCCATCCAGGTGTCACCGTGAGGACAGACCTTCCTGCCCTGCTCCGGCGGCCTTCACCAAACCAGCCTTTCTGGAGTGGTGTCCTTCTCACGCCTAGAGTGCCTGGGCGTGCGCGTGGGGGTCCCGCAGATGTACCAGCTGCACCTGCCCGGAGCTGAGACCACCCCGGGTCGATCCAGCCCCAGCCGGACTGGAAGGCTGTCCATCCCACGGACCCCGTCCTTCGTGCCCACAGTGCCCCCCACCCGCCCTGAAAGGCTGCATTCCCTCCATGACTCCACGTTCCTTGACTCCCGACGGGCATGGGTAGGGAATCTCCTTACTACGTGACCCCGCCACGTGGACCCTGCCCCCTGCTGTGCCTGGATGCCACCGTCCCTTCCAGTACCGTCCGGCTCTATTCTCCCCTTTGGTCTGTGGATGAATAAATAAATCCCCGTGGTCCGGGTGGGAAGGAAACACTCTTCCCAGGTCCTAACGTAGGAAAGGAAGATTTTTTTTCCTCTCCCCTCTTAGGTTAGCTAACCGGGGTCCTGTAAATCAGGCTGAGGAAAAATGGGCAAGAGAAGCAGTCTATGGCCACATGCAGCCGCACGCACGGCGGGAGCGGGGGGCCGGTGGCTTAGAGGGGCGCTGGCGACCTGGGGCTCAGGGAGCATCTCTGCAGAAGGAACAAGACCAGGGCAAACCGTGGGGAGGTAGGTCCACAGGGCAGCGACGGACCGCTCGTCTGCCCAGCCCCACCCTGGAGCCGGCTCACCGACCTCCTGGCCGTAAAGCTCTCTGTCGGGGGGGACTCCGGCTGGCAGTTCTCAGCAGCCGGTGCTGTTCCACGGATAAGCGCAGCTCGGGGAAGGCTCCTTCCTGCATCTGGCGAGTCTCATTTGTCTCCAGCTCAAAACAATCCTTCTGCCAGAGGGCAGGTGGAGGCGGCAGGTTCCTGTCCCCTAAACCGCCACGATGCAGCGGGTTTTTCTGGACTGTGTCCCCAACCTCGAAGCTGTGTCTACAGGACGGCCTCCCGCCATGCGGCCACGTCCTCCCGCCCGCTGCCATCTGCTCAGACGCTCTCGTCTCCTCTAGGAATCGCGTTGTTGCCGCCCCAGGGCCCCCACCTCCCTGTGGACTCTCCCGACATCGATGCTTTCGGTGTCCTCAGTGGAAAATCCCCTCCCCCCAGGTGCCCTTCCCAGCCTGCTGGACGGATGGAAGCGGAGGTTTGCACAGGTGCCAGGAGAGCCCTGCCCCCTGCAGCCCGTGGCCCACCGCCCACCGCCTTCCTCCCCACCAACCCTGCACGTGCTTCCTCGGGAAGCTTCCGATGGCCGGCCCGGCCCACGGCAGCTGGGACTGACGCAGTTTGGGGGGCCCATCTGACGTCGCCAGACTCCCTCCTGTCCCGCTCCCGAACCACCGCCCTTTGCCACCCGTCCACCTCGGCTCCGAATGCCGCGGCCCCCAAGCCCACCGCTGGCGCTGCCGTGAGCCAGACCCGCGCCCCAGCCGCCGTCATCAGTCCACACGCCCAAGTGCGTTCTCCCTGACAAGATAAATCCCAGCGTGTGGTTTTTGCCCCCAGCATCGTGTGGCCTCGGGTAGAGACAAGGGCACTGGCTCAGAGTGTCCCGGTAAATCAGGGGCCGGGAAGGAGGCATGTCAACATGAGAAACATCTGGGGACTGAGGGGCGCGGCCTTATCACTCGACACGGTGGACACGATGGACGTGATGGAACCGCAGAGCCCGCCCTGGCCCGCCGGGTCCAAACGTCCCCTTCGACAAGACCCCCACGCGGTCCGAGTACACATTACGGGGGGAGAGCCGTGGGCTGGGTGGCCGTGGGGCGAGAGGGGGGCCCGCGAGGAGGGGAGGGTCTGACGCCAGCCGCAGGTCCCGGGTGGTCACCTGTAGGGACCAGCCAGCCCCGCCCCCTCTGTCACCCGTGTCACTCGTTAACAAACAAGAGGCACTCTTGTGGCTGAGAGATTCCTCAGGTTTAAGGAGCCGTGAGCCGGGAACCAGGACACGGAGCTCGCCTCTACCGTCCCTGCTGGGATGGCTGAAGTTTGTCGACCGACTTAGGGACCTGAGTCAGGGCAGGAGATGCCTTTCATCTGCCTCCCCTCTGGTCTGATGCCCCTGCAGGTGGCCCTGGACACTCACGCTGTCCATGTGTCTCCTTCCGCTGCCCGTTGGATGAGAGGCCGTCTCACGCTCGTGCTCTAAGGACGTGTGACTTCTGTGTCTGAGGCAGTTCGGTATCAGCAATGCAGAGGGGCCCTCGGTGAGGAGTTGTCGGCCGCCTGCCCGCGTCCCGCGTGTCCACCTCCCGCGAGGCCGGGATCCAGGCTCACCACCTGCCCCAACTGGCCCGGAAAGGCAAACCCGTGTTTGGCGGCTACAGAGTCCCATTTCTGGGGCAGTAGCTTAAAGTTTGTTTGTTTGTTTTTGATTGAGGAACTTTTCCAAATACAGCCCCTCAACCAAACCCTGAGGTTCTTCGTTCGGGCTGGTGACTGACAACGGGGCCACCGGCGCAACTTGCCAAGCGTGGTTGTGAGGTGGTCTGCACTGCCGTCTCAGGGGCGGCTCTAAATGCACGTGTCGTGAAGGCTTGTTCTGTGAATTCACACGTGTGTAACGTCGACGCGGCAATAACCACCCAGGAATCAGAGGGCTTGTTTGCATGGCCGTCCGCCTGCTGTCGTCAGGGGCCGTGTCACCAGGGGCAGGCGCTGGCCTCCTTCCTCTCCGTCCCTGCTGGGAGCTGGGCAGGACCCCTGCCCGAGACCGTGGGAGGCTGCCTCTCCCTGCGCTCAGGCCCTGGGCATCAGCAGGGCCACAGATCCCGGCCCACCCCAACTTCCAGCGCGGACTGGTCGCTCCTCCCTGGACAGCCAGGTCTACCTCTCCCCCTGCCTTGCCCGGAACACTCCGGGGCCTCCTAGCAAATGGCCCTGGGCCGGCAGGATGGCTGGTCACTAGCCGTGAATCCGGTGGGTTTGGGACGGCCGCCCACAGTGCAGCTCCAAACTGGGCCATGAGAGGACGTGGGCTTCATCCAGGTTCTCCAGGGGATTAATCATGCTTTCTACTGTCCATATGTTACCGTGTTTGGACATCTTAAACAGCTTGCTGGCTGGAGTGGCAGCCCCTCCCCCCACCTTCCCCAGGGCCGGCCAATTCCCAGACAGCATGCCGTCCAAATGCAAACCAGCCAACTCCGGTCTACGCCCCCAACCGCCTCTTTCCCTGATGCTCGCACACCAAGCCAATACCCTCCCTTCCCAACACCACCTGAGGGCCAGTCCTATAGCCCAGAGCCGGAACGTTCCAAGAGCCCCTCCCATGCTCTTTGCGCTGCCCTGCTTCATTTGCCTGTGGATACCCCAGCAGGTGCCAGGGCTGCGTGCTTCCCTCACCTCTGCTTCTGCCTCCTGACCAAACACCGTGCTCCCCCTGCGGCCCTGTGTGGCGGGCCCTGACGTGGCTTGCTCCCTCCTGTCCAGAAATGTCCATAATAAATTCTTCTCTCGATGCATTGGCCTCTCGGGGTCTCATGTATCACGTCCATAAATTAAAATATCTTGGGTACAAATGAGACATCCTGGGGTGTGAGCCCCGAGAAAGGCAGCCCCCGTGTGAGACGTCCGGGTCCCCAGGATCCCCGTGCTGGAGGGGCCTGTGCACAGCAGGTGACGGTGCTGGCGGATCCCCAGCACCCCACCGAGGCACAGACCCGTGAGGGAAGAGATTTGGGGTCCTCCGGACCAGCCAACAGGCCAGCCATGTACCCCCGGGTGACCTCTACTGATGCCACATGACAGACAGGAAGAACCATGCCACGCCCAGCCGAAGTGCACCTGACGGGAGCTGTGAGCACCTCAGACACCCCTGCCTGAGGCACTCCCCTCGGCGGTTTGCCTGGAGACAGAAATTGGAGCAGTGTGCCGTTTGGGGCATCCGGGGAAGCCAACTCTCCTTACATCATCGGGGGTTTTCAGGATTTGCTTTCTTAGGGACTGGTGATCCTTCTAGCACTCGGGGTCACACGGATGGGCGGTGGAGGGGGAGATGCCTGCCCGCCACCCCGCAGCCCGAATGGCTGTGGCGTCCGTCCCTTTTAGTGATTTGTCCTCCAAGGAAAGATTTCCCACGAACAAAGAGGTTTTTCTGGGTTCGGAGTGTTTTCAGGCTTAAAAACCAGGGACTCCTTTCAATTGGCAGATGAGTACACTGAGGCCCAGAGAGGCCAGGTGCCAAGGTGACATGAGCAGGGACACCCTGCTCTCTCTCCTCCTCTTGCCACCGTGGTGGTTTCACAGCCACGGAGCAAGAGAAGGAACGTGCCCCCGCTCGCTCGCAGGTGCTGTTTCCACGTATCCAGATTTAGCCCGGAGGTTGTCAACTCCGCTGAGCCGGGCAGCGTCTGGGCAGTCCGCCCGTCTCCCGTGTCATCGCTCATCTCCATGGTTTCCACACTTCCCAACTTTCATTATCGCGTGTGATGACTTTAGTGGTGAGCTAAGAAAACAGGGTTATTCGCACTTAAACCCATGGCGTTTGGAATCGGATGTGTGCTTCTTGTGTGTTCTCTTTCCCAGACGAGAGGCGGCCATCGTGAACATCGCTTACTCTGCAGAAACAGGCTCTTGCTGAGGTCAGACACCCCCTTGGAGGCATGTTGTAGGAATGTGAACGCGGCCGTCAGCGTGGGGTTACCCAAAATACTCGAAAATATTGAGTCGCTCGGAGAACTGGAAAGCATCCGTGTGCAAACTTGAACAATAACTCTTGGGGAAAGTCTGTGTGCTCCAGAGACTCTAAGATGAAAATGGCCAGCGCAGCACGTGGTAGGGAAATATTCAGGAAGTAAGTTAACGCTAAATACAGCCGACGCTTGAACAACACAGGGGTTAGGGGCGCGGACCCCCCGCGCAGCTGAAAATCCACAAATAACCTTGGACTTCCCCCAAAACTTAACTACCAATAGCCTACTGTTGACCGGGAGCCTTAGCGGCCACCTAAAGAGTTGATCAACACACATTCTGTATGTTATGTGTGTTATATCCTACCTTCTACAATCCAGTGAGAGGGAGAAAAGACAATGTCGTTAAGAAAACCGTAAAGAAAAGAGAATCCATTTACAGGATTTCTCGAAAGCAAGTCTGCGTGTACGTGGACCCGTGCGGGTCCAACCGTGTTGCTCACGGGCCCTGGTGCAACCTCACCTTTGGGCCGTGTCTCTAGGTCGCCCTTGGGGACAGCAGCACTGCTGCGGTCACCTCAGAGTGGGAGACACGAGGTTCACGGGACGAGTGTATCCGGCAATCAGGACACACAGAGGTGGTTCCCGCCTGGATGCCACGGAGCCTCCACGTGCACAGATGGTGGGTACCCGCGTGGGGGGCAGCCCCCTCCGCCCACCGCCCCGAGCCTCGGCGGAAAGCACTCCCCGTCATGCAGAGCCCAGGGGTTTTTGATCAGAACTCGTGGGTCGCCAGGGCCCCCGAGCTCCTGGAGCTCCCCAGGTGGTGGTCAGACGGCCACGGGGATCAGCGGCCAGGCTCGCCCTCTGCCCGGGCCCCGCCCAGCTGCCCTTGGACTTTCTGTCCTGCTTCCTTATTTCAAGAACTGTGCAGCCTCACATCTCTGCCCACACGCAGACTGCAGCCTGAAATGGTTTTGGCTCCACTTTTCACTTGTTGTTACGGAGTCTTTGGGTTTTCTGGGGACGGTAAGCCTTTGGTCTCCTTAGCCCTAGATCTAGAAGTTGCAATTCCTCGTGACTCGGCACGCTTACTTCTCTGTCTTCTTCCCTTTTCCAGGGCATCTCTCAGGACTGCATTTCCAGGATTCAAGGGTCGCGTGTGGCCCAGCACAAGGGCCTCCAGTCACACCTGGGCCCCAGAGAACTCGGGCTCCCACCTCCTTCTTCGCCCCGGCTGCACGCGCCCTCCCCGGAGCCGCGTGTCCCTGCACACTCAGCCTGCACTAAATCCTCCGTCGGCTCGGCAACACTCTCATCTCCTTAAAGCAGACCCTTTGTCCTGCACTCCGGACGCCGACAAACATCAGCTAACTGATCCCACGGGGTCTCTGCACTTAGAGAACGTAAAATGAGCGTGTCCACACGGCCACCGACCCTCACTCCCCACCCCCCTCCGACCCCGCTGGGTCCGAGTTCTCCGGGGGCCGTCTCGCTGCTGACCTTGCGCCCTGACCGCTATTCTGCAGGCGATTTTGATGCTGCGGCCAAGGCTGCCGACCGTGGGGGTCTGCCGAGGGGGGGTCACAGTGCAATCGTGGCCCGACGCTCTTGCTGCTCTCTCCGGATCTCGCCTCACTCTGCCCCTCCTCCCCGGGGTGCACTTGTCTTCCGCGGGTCGCTGGCTCATCTCCCACTCTTTGCCTCCCGCCCTTAGTTACATGCCAGCACCGTATGCAGGACACCAAGCCTGGCACAAAGTAGGTCTTCGCTACGCAGTAGTGGATACAAAGTGGTTCACAGTTCAGATTTTAAAAGGCAGAGATAAACCAGTTTTTCCCTCCAAACAGCAGGCATGCAGGCAGTGAGGTTTATTTCTGTTGAAAGCCTCAGATTTTAAAAGGAAAAACGAAACCAAATGTTCCCCTCAACACACCAGGTATCCTCGCCAGTAAAGCTTATTTCTGTGAACAGCCGGGCACCCCACGCGTCTGAGCTGGTTGGAGGGATGTAGGTCACCGCTCGCAACGGAGGTGAAGGAGTTTAATGGGTTGGCTTAATCAAGAAATACAACCTTAACGAGCCACTAGCGGGAAGCGCTCTAAGAATCGCTCTCTGGGAAAACAGGAAACGGAACATTTTATGCTGCAGTTTTTCAGGAAAAGGAGCGTCATCTCCAAGCCTTGATTCCTAAAGGGGTCATGTTCCCGAAGCCCCCTCCTGTCAGGTTGTACCTCAGAGCATCCGTGTCGGACGGCACGGTGGGTGCTGGTAGCTGAGTTCTGGAGGGCTCCATGCACGTCACCTGTCACACAACAGGGATGGACAGTTGGCCTGTTGGAGGAAGCCAGCTGTGACCCGTCAACCCTGCGGTGAGGAGGAAACGGCCTGGAAGACAGAGGTGACCCAGGCAGGATTTGCAGACTTTCTAGGGGACATACTGACAAGGGCACCCGCCCCAGCTCGGCCCCTGCCCTCCTTCATCTGAGCAGGAAGTGTGACTGTAGCCTTAAACCTTTGTTTAGGGGCACCTGGGTGGCTCGGTCAATTGTGCCTGACTCTTGATCTCAGCTCAGGTCACAATCTGACGATTCACGGGATCGAGCCTGGAGTCGGGCTGACAGTGTGGAGCCTGCTTAGGATTCTCTCTCTCTCTCTCTCTCTCTCTCTCTCTCTGCACCACTCCCACTCTCTCTCTCTCTCAAAATAAAAAAATAAACTGAAATAAATAAATAAATAAAGCTTTGTTTAAACCAAACACACCAGGAAATAGGGGTTTAATCTCAAAATAGCCAAATGGTAGTTATTTGGAAATTACTCTTAAAATACATTTCCCTGTGGGGCGCCTGGGTGGCGCAGTCGGTTAAGCGTCCGACTTCAGCCAGGTCACGATCTCGCGGTCCGTGAGTTCGAGCCCCACGTCAGGCTCTGGGCTGATGGCTCCGGAGCCTGGAGCCTGTTTCCGATTCTGTGTCTCCCTCTCTCTGCCCCTCCCCCGTTCATGCTCTGTCTCTCTCTGTCCCAAAAATAAATAACGTTGAAACAAAATTAAAAAAAAAAATACATTTCCCTGTATTTTAAGTTTAACAAATTCACATTGTATTTGATCTGACCAATGTTTAGGGCATATTTTATGTATCTGTGTTGTGGCTTGAATGATGGTCCCCCAGAAGATATGCCCAGATTTTAACCCTTGCTCCCCATGTATGAATGTGACACATTTAGAAAAAGAATCTTTTCAGATATGATTAAGTTAAGGATCTCAAGAAGAGATTGTCCTGGATGAGACCGGCCCTAAATCTGGTGACTGGTGTCCTTATAAGAGATGCAAGAGAAGAGACAAGACACAGGACAGGAGCCATGAGAAAACAGGGGCAGAGGTGGGAGGGATGTGGCCACAGGCCAGGGACGCCCGGAGCCCCCAAGGCTGGAGGAAGCAGGAAGGACCCTCACCTGGAGCCTCTGGAGGGAGCACAGCGCTGCCCCCCTGGATCTCAGACTTCTGGCCTCAGAACTGCAAGAGGAAACATTTCTGTGGTTTTACACCTGTTCAGTGGGGTTTTGTTAAAAAATGAAAATGACCTGTAAGAAATTTTATGTGGGGGAAAGAGAGGAAGAAGTTGAAAGTTAAATGCCACAGAATTTTATGGCCTTTTTTTTTTTTTTTAATATAGTTTTTGTTTGTTTGTTTGTTTTCCAGGTCAGTTTTTCAAAAACCTGCACGGATGTTTTGTGAGAGGCTTTGAGGCATTTTTTCTCCAGGAATGGAGGCAGGGCTGTGCCCACCTGTGCACAGACTGGTAGCCTGGCGCTCGGCTGCCCATTCTGAGCACGCTGGGAGTTCACGTGGCTGCTGGGAGGTGTCTGCGCCCCTCTTTGTCCGCCCGTGGGGATTGCTCGGGGCTCCTGATGAATGTTGATATTCCTGCTAGGGACTGTGTCTCTCCCTTATTTGTTACTGAAAAGAGTTAATTCTGATCATTTTGTGTCCACCCAGGAAAGATGGAAACTATGCACGGGGCCAGCCGCTTTCCTCATTTTGGAGAGGAAAAGGTATTTCTATTCCACAGGATGTTCTCCGAGCGAATGGGGGAGTGGGGGGAGGGGGTGAGTGGGCTGTTCAGAATTTTCCCCAAGATTCTTCTTTTCCCCAAGGATAAGCACTATGTCTGTCCACGTGTGTCCAGGAGGGACTTCAACTTCAGACAAATAAATCGTGCGCTCATAACATGCAGGAGGGAGAGAGGATAAGCACACAAGACAAGAACCAGGTCTCCAGCTAGAGATCAAACCCGGATCTCGGATTCCTGACTGTGCAGCGGACCCTGGGCTTCCCTGGCGTGTGTGACAGCCTCCCTGATGCTCGCGGGCCCCGTGGTGGGAGCCAGGGTGGAGGAGGGACCCTCAGAAAGACGCTTCCCCTTGAGCTCCCCCTCTGCCTCTCCTTCCCCATCAACACACCTGGGCGGCCCATTTTCACAGAACGGAGACAACAGAGAAGGGTCTCGAGTGGGAGAGACCAAAAATGGCCGTCTTGCGCTCAGACTGCAAATTTTTATGCGGAAGAAGTTATTTCTTCACCATGAGGGAGAACTTTTACAGATACGGAAATTCACCTTGTTTTTCATTTTTTGTTTGATTTCTGTAGAAGGACTTTTCATGATGGCTGCTGCTTGATGAGAATGTGTCGGGGTTTTAGCACACGGAGTCCCTCGTGCTGGCTGGAGGAGAGGCCACCGACCTACAGACGCCCCAAAACCTTTGCTCAAAGCAATGGGCGCCCTCTCCTAGTCCAGGAGGAACAGTCTCCAGAGCTGTTCCTCCAGCCGACGCGACTCGTCCTGGCTGGTGCCTGACCTCCTCTGAGCCACGACGGACTTGGTGTGTGCCTGCATCCTGGCGACCCAAGGGGTGTGGGCCTGGCCTGCTGGTCAGCGTCCACCCGGCTGCAGCCCAGCCCACATGCATCACACAGCCCACGACGTAAAGGCCGGGCCCGGGGCTCGCCGCGGCCGGCTCAGGGTCTGTGGCACGTTCAGTTTGTCATTACTGAAGCTAATTCATCGACACAAGAAGAAACATACCAGGTTGTAAGTCAGCCGTAGACCTCACTCCTTTCCTATCAGGCCGGAAGGTCCCTGATGCCCACAATTCTTAGCTCGTTCATTTAGATCCACATGGCAATCCAATGTTCCCACCTCACTGACGAGGGACCTTCCCTCCACCCGGCTGGCTCACCCGCTATTGTACGTGCCTTTCATCACTTTATATAGGAAATAAAAGCGGGCCGCTTGGGTGGCTCAGTCGGCGAAGCTTCCGACCTCGGTTCAGGTCATGATCTCACGGTTTGTGAGTTCGAGCCCCGCGTCGGGCTCTCTGCTGTCAATGCAGGGCCTGCTTTGGATCTTCTGTCCCCTTCTCTCTTTACCCCTCCCCCCCCAAACAATGTAAAAAACGTTTGGAAAAAAAAAAAAAGAAAATATAAGGACTTATTTCTGTACAGCTTTGAGCCTTTTTTGGTGGGGGGGAGGGGCCCATTTCTGGTTGTAACTAACACCGCTATTTCTCGTGTGCCTGGTATTTCTGGCTGAAAGTCCCTTAGAGCCTGCAGGCTGGGGAGGAGGTGCCCAGCTGCACACTTTTCATGTGACGCTTGGACGCGTCCCTCGGGAGTTTCACTGTGCTCCTACTGGGGGGTGGGGGGGAGGAGGGGGGCACACAGCAGTAAAACTCACTGTGGATTTGGGAGCACAAGCGAGGCAGACACACTCACCAGGACAAAACCTCTGCAATCATCATTTTGTGTTCCTTACCCCGGACCAGACAGTGGGAAGTGCCATGGCGCAAGGTCCTCCTGTCGCTGGGCCACCAGGGGAGGGGCCGTCCTGGGGGAGGTCCATGTGGGGCCAGGGGGCTGGGCGGTGTCTCTGAAGGAGGCTGCGCAGTGTCTGTGTCCCCTCTGGCTCCTCTGAAGTGTGACCAAGTCCCTCCCTTTGCACGCGGGCTGGCCCTGGACAGGCCCTGACCCGGAGGGTGCAGAAGTGTGTCTGTCAAGACGCCCAGGGCTTCCCCTCCTCCCCCTGGAGCCCTGAGCACTGGATACAGAGCCACGTGTGGCCAGAGGCCCAGCCGGCTCTCAGGCTTCAGCCACCCAGGTGGGGCCAGGTTTCCAGTGCCAGGGGTCCCAGCCCCTGGACCGTCTGCCCATTGATGCCACGTGGAGCAGAAGTCCCCCGCTGAACCGTGCCCCCAGCTCCTGACCTACAGAGTTTTGCACAAATGAACAATGATTGCTATCTCTGGGTGGTTTGTCAGCCAGTGAAACGGCCTAATGACCCGATGTAGCTGGGGTCCCAGCAGCCTGGCAGTGAACGGTGTCGGGGGAATCCAAGCACAGACGGCGGGAGGTGAAGCACGACTGGCTGGGTCACCTGCTGCACGGGACAATGTTCGCTAACCAGGCCCATGCCCCAGCAGGGCCGTGAGGCTGTCACGGCAAAGAAGGCAGACAGGACTTGGCACCCTGGAGCCTCAGCGGCAGAGGCTGGCTTCTCAAACAGGCAGGGATGCTTGAACGAAGTGAGGACTGAGGTCAGAGACACTGGCACACAGGTTCAGCCTCACAGAGCGAGGGAAGGGGCCCACAGACCCCACGGAGGATCAGAATGGGTCTTAGCCTAGGAGCTGCATGCGGGTGGGAAAGGTCCGGACCCCGCAGACCGATGGGCTACCGGCTGGAGACAAACCCTCGTGTTTATGGGCAAATGAGGCCCCTAAGGGTGCCAAGGGCATTCAGTGGGGGAAAGAATTGCCTTTAACAAAAGAAGCTGTGTGTGCAATAAAAGTGGGATCTTCACCTAACGCCATACATGAAAATTAACTCAAAATGATTCATAGACCTGAACGTGAGCGCTGAGACCCTCAAACTCCAAGGTCTTTAGGGCCTCATCTCAGGCGATGGTTTCTTAGGTACGATGCCAAAAACACAAGCAGCAAGAGAAAAACAGGTGAACTAGGACCACATCAAAATTACCAGTTTTTGTGCTGCGAATGAGGTCATCGAACAAGTGAAGACACAGCCCAGAGACAGGGGGAAAATGTCAGCAAATCATACACCCGATGACAGACTTGATTCTAGAACAGACCACAAACTCCCACAACTCAACAGGAAAAAGACGAATAAACCCATTTAAAAATGGCCACAGGATTTGAATGCACATTTCTCCAGGGATGCAGCGGTCCCTCCTCTGCAGGGGACAAATTCCAAGACCCCCAGGGCACGGCCGAGACCCCAGACAGCACTCAACCCTGTATGCTCTGTCTTTCCTCTGCTCGGAAGTTGAATATATAAATTAGACGCACGCAGTAGGAGATTAACAACAATAACTAATAATAAAATAGTACAATTGTGACAATAAAGCACGAGAAAAACCACGTGACTATGAGCTGTCTCTCTGCCTCGAGATACCTTACTATACTATACTCACTCTTCTTCCCGTGAGGACGGGAGACGACGAAATGCCCACGTAAGATGATGGTCAGGGTGTGACGCAGGCATGCGGTGAAGCAGAAGGCTACGTTCGGCCTTTTCAAAGTTTTTAATGGAAGTAAAATTCATACGTAATATTAAATGAGTTTCTGCCGTACAGCACGATGATTCGCCGATCACATACACGAAGAAATGCTCACCACGCTAAGCGCGCCCCCGCCGTACCTTTCACGCCTACTGACTTTGTGGTGACCCTGTCAGAAGGAGGGTCACCAGCTTCAGGACCACATTTGACTTTGGGTGTCTGAAACCACGGCCGAGGGGGTCCACTGTATACATATAGCCAAAAGCTCAGGAAGAGATACCCAACATCGGTGATCACCAGGGAATGCAAAACCAAAACCGCAGTGAAAACTCGCTAGAAGGGATATAATAAACAAGACAGGAAAACAAACGTTGGCGAGGATGTGCGGAAATCGGAACCCTCCCACGCTGCTGGTAGACACGTAAACAGTGCCTGAGCCTGGGTTGGGGGTTTGGGGGGTGAATGGGGATTAAATGCTGATAGGCGTGGAGCTTTTTCTGGGGGAGGGGAAAAATATTCTAAATTTAGACTGTGGCGAGAATCTGCAACTCTATGAACATACTACTAAACGCTGAGTTATGTCCATTAAATGGATGAGTTGTGTGGGAAGGGCAGCCAAAGACGCCACCCCACACAGGCCACACCGGCAGACAGAGTGTTCTGAGCTGAAGGCCACGGAGAAGCAGCAGGCACAGGAGGAGCTCTCTGCCCTCCCCCCTTTGCCTAAAAGCAGGACATAAATCTGTACAGGCAGCCTGTGCCCCTCTATACGGGCAGGGAAGGGGGTGAGCCACAGCAGCCCCGAGACGCAGCAGAGGAACACGGGCTGCAGCTAGCTCCCCTCTCCTGTCGATTCCTCCACCCCACCCCGCCCCGCTGCTTCCCCCCACCCCACCCACCCCCCTGCACTTGCCCCCGACCACCCCCTGCCGCTTCCCCCCACCCCGACCCCTGCACTTGCCCCTACCCCACCCCATCCCACCTCCCTGCACTTGCCCCCGCCACGTGTCGCCGCCCCTAGAAACCCAATGTCCTTCCCGAGTCCTGTCACTTCTCCATGATTTACTGTTGTGCTGTGGACGCACTGTATGAGCGCTTTGCCTCTCTGCGTTCTCCATCTCTGGGGGCTCCCGGGCGTAGACTTCTGCTTGTCCCTCTCTGGTTCATCTGTGCTTTGTCGGTCTAACTCAGAGTCCCAGCCAGTGAACGTACAATGTGCAGAGGGAAGGCATTTTTCTCCCCTCAAAAGTGTGTGAACTAAACCTCAGCAAGGCGGCTGCAGAAACAGACAAGGCCCAGCCGGCTCCGGAGCCGGCAGAGATGCAGGGGGCTGAGCCATCAGGACCTCACCCTGCCTGGCTGTCCTGCCAGCCCGTCCAGGAGCCCATGGTGAGAAGAGCCAGCCCCCTGCAGGGCTGGTGCACAGCATGCAAGACTTCTAAAAAATGGTTTTCATATAGTCAAAGAAATAAAGGACCTAGATTGCAGTTTTTAATAACATGCTTTTTGTGCAGTATTTACTACACTTTCCAACAAATTGTCGGAGCAGTCAAGCGAGGGGGGGGGGTAACACATGTAGACAGTTACAGCCTTGCCTGGGGCTCTAGGATTTCACTAACTGTGTCGTGGAGAAAAACGTGTCCAAATTCAAATTGGAAAGGCCAGTGTGAACTCACAAAAATAGAGCAAATGTGTTTCCCCCGTGACAACAGTGGGCTCGACGACCACTGGGTGTTTCTGAGTCTCTTCTCCCCCCACAGAGGACCCAGGGCACGGGAGTCCACGTTTCCAGGCAGAGAAATCTCATGGGCAGCCTGGAAGACTGTTGTTCCGGGAGGTCAGACGTTTGCTGAGGGACAAGGCCTGGAGTATGGGGACTCCCCACAATGACACGGTGATGCTGGGTCTCTTCTGGGTCCTTCTCACGACAAGCCCAAGGAGGAGATCAACATGAGACAGATTACAGGAGGGAAAGGAATTCAATTTCGTAGGTAAATATGTATGCGCGGGAGCCCCACGAAGACAGAAGACTCGAACAAGTGACCAAGCAGGCGACTTTCATGCCTTTCAGACAGACGAACGGGGAATTTGTGAACAACTGACAGCGGTTTGGGCTGGGGTCCTAAACAACTGGAGGAGGAGAGGTCTGTTCACACAGCCTCCATCCCTCGATTTCCCACCAGCCTCCTGTGTGGGGAGGGTGCCTCTGGCGGAGGGAGATTCGTCTCCGTGGTCAGGAGGGTGGCGTGAGGGAGGCGGTCGGAGTGTCCTTCCTTCGTGGGCTGTTTCTCCAGCATCTTTAATTCAGAGTTATCAATATGAGGTCACGTATTCTGAATCCCACCAAGGACTAGAGGCTTCTCAAATGTAACGCGTGGAGGGGACCTCCCCCGAGGTTGCCCCTCTCTTGCCCTGTCCCTCGCCTCTCCTCCAGCCTTGAGGTTCATCCAGGAGTCAGACCAGAACCTTTCTGGCCTTGCCTCACAGGCACACCCCCATCCCCGACGTGCTGAGACTGAGCCCCATTCCTGTCCTCGTCCTTGTGGTGGCTGAGCCGGTTCTGTTCGCCCACTGCACCAGCAGCCCCGGCCGTGAGGACAAGCCCGGGGAGGCAGGGAGGCCCTCACGTGGCACCAACACAGGGACAGTCCACGCCGCAGGGTCTGGGGAGGCTGCATGAACGCGGGAAGCGGATCAGACAATGCATAGCTCACTTAACAAGCAGTGCACAAACTGAAAACAACGCAGGACCACACAGACCACCCTGGATAAAGCTTGAAAACAGAATGCGGACCAAGCAAAGCTGCTGACTTTGTGCCTTCTATGATACCATTCATGTAAAATTTAGAAAAAAAACACAGTGGATTGTATGCATTAAAATAAGTCTTTTGTTGGGGCGCCTGGGTGGCTCAGTCGGTTAAGCGTCGACTTCGGCTGAGGTCGTGATCTCACGGTTTTTGAGTTCAAGCCCCGCGTCGGGCTCTGTGCTGACAGTCAGAGCCTGGAGCCTCCTTGGGATTCTGTGTGTCCCTCTCTCTCTGCCCCTGCCCTGCTCATGCTTGCTCTCTCTCTCAAAAATAAATAAATAAATAAATAAATAAATAAATAACAAAACAAAATAAAGAAATAACAAGATTTGCCAGGACAGTTTGGCAGTTGAGGACGCCTGAGAGCACGTTGTCCTGTCACAGTGGTTTGGAATGAAGACAGTGTGGCTTTGGTGCCGCTGGACACAGCCTGACCGGTGGGAATTTTCACGTGACAAAGGTCAAGGTCCAGAAACGGAGAGAAAGAATAGTGTTGAGACATCTTCTCAGTTCAAGAATCACACGTTCTCAAAAATTTTGGTATTGATTTAGCATCTATGGGTAAAAAAGTTAAATTATATAAGTCCTAGAAGAAACCAAGTGAGACTATTTTTATTATCCTCGGGTGGGGAAGTACCGATGTAGACTGCGTGTGTCCCCCCCAAACTCATACACTGAAACCCAACTCACAGTGTGATGACATTCGGAGGTGGGGCCTTCGGGAAGTGGTCATGAGGAAGGACCCCAGGAATGGGATTAGTGCCCTTACAAAAGGGACCCCGGAGAGCCCCCCGCCCCATCAGCCACGTGTGAGGGCACATCGAGAAGACAGCCCCCTAGGAAGCAGGAGTGGGCTCTCTCCAGACACCCGATGTGCTGGCGCCTTGGTCCTGGACTTCCAGCCCCCACGGACGTGAGGAAAAAGTCTGCTGTTTATAAGCCCCCCACCCCCCACATTGGTGGCATTTTGTTATAGCGGCTTGAGTGGACTAAGACAAACTGCTTATAATCAGGATATGAAATAATAGAAGCTGCAAAGAAAATAAAAGCATGGGGGCATCTGGCTGGCTCAGTCAGTGGAGTGTGTGACTCTTGATCTCGGGGTTGTAGGTTCAAGCCCCACGACGGGGATATAGATTGCTTAAAAATAAAAATAAAATCTTTAGGGGTGCCTGGATGGCTCAGTTGGTTAAGCGTTTGACTCTTGATTTCGGCTCAGGTCATGATCTCACGGTTTGTGAGTTCAAGCCCCACGCTGGGTTTTGCACTGACAACATGGAGCCTGCTTGGGTCTCTCTCTCTCTCTCTCTGCCCCTACCCTGCTTGTGTTCTCTTTCAAAATAAATAAACATTAAAAAAAATTTTTAAGTGGATGTGTACTATATGACAGCAATGACATCTCTCAAAAAGAAGCACTCAGGTGTAAGTGGACGTTTCATCATAGTAAAAACTGGAAGCACCTAAGTGTCCGTCAGACGGGGATTTAAATTAACTATGGCCCCTTAGCACTGTAGAAAACCATGTTAGCGGCTAAAAAGAACGGCAGACCGATGACTCATGTCTTTAGTGGTGCCTGTGCCCTCTTCACCCCAGGCTCCCTGCCCACACACCCCAACGTGATGCGTGCTGGTGGGCCGGTGGGCCCCTGTGTTCTTACTCAAAGTTCACTGGAAAGATCCCTGCGGGGACATGACTTCCGTCCGAAGCAACAGTGCAAAATGCCACCAGCCACTGAGCCTTCCCGTGACAAACTTCCACAGGCCACCCTGCGCGAAAAAAAGAACCTACGGTTTACAAGAGAAATACTTCTATAAAGACTGGGTGGAGGTGGGGTGTGGAAATGATTTGGGGAACCACACAGATGTTCGGAAGTCTCTCACGTACTTGGAGAGACTGAGATTCTTCACCACAAAATTAAACCCGGTGAGATGGGGACTTGGTGTTCAGTGGGGACAGAGTTTCAGTTCTGAGAGATTTAAGTGTTCTGTGGGCAGATGGCGGGGGTGGCCGCACAGCCGTGTGGACGCACTTAGCGTCTGCACCACAGGCTTGAAAATGGTTACGACGGTTAAGTATTATGCTACCTGCATTTTACTGCAAGTAAAAAACTACGACATTATGAGAGGGGCGCCTGGGTGGCTCAGTCGGTCAAGCGTCCAACTGCGGCTCAGGTCATGATCTCCCGGTTCGTGGGTTCGAGCCCCACGTCGGGCTCTGTGCTGCCAGCTCAGGGCCTGGAGCCTGCTTTGGATTCTGTGTCTCCTTCTCTCTCTGCCCCTCCCCTGCTTGCACTCTGCCTCTCTCTCAAAAATAAATAAACATTAAAAAAAAAATACGTAACATTAAAAAAAAGCATTATGAGAGATGAAAACCTAAAGACAGAGAACGGGCCTGTGACAGTTCCTGGGGGCTGGTCTTGCTGCTGGTGGCAGCTCAGGAGGAGAAGTGGAAATTGCTCAGTTTCCAGTCTGGGGAGGCGGGAAAGGGGCACACACCCCGGCGGGTGTCTGCGCAGACCAACAGCTGTCCTGGGACCGGCCGCTGGCCGCACCCCCCTTTCACATAAGTCCTTGTGATCTGAGCCACTCTTGTTGGGGCTTATACGCGCCAAACGCAGCCCCCGACGGTGCATTCATTCCTGGTGCCGGAGGCCAGAACTCGGGTGCCGGGCAGCTCCTGGCAGAGAGCTCTGCGGAGCAGCCTTAGGGGTGATGGAGCACAGCACCACCGGGGGCCTTGCCATCCTGAAGACTTAACAAAGGAAAACAGAAGGCTCCTCCCGAGAGGAGGTGCGCCCCAGGGACCCCTTCATCAGGGTCCGCCAAGGGGAAGGTGTGTGGGTGACGCCCCAGCACAAGAGGCAGTAAGACCGAGCCCCCCGTGTGGCTCCCTGTTTTTCGGCCCCTTGGGAAGTCAGCTTGGGGGCACGAGAGCCGGGGAGCAGGTGCCGGACCCCCCCAGCTCCCTCTGGCCGGAGGCAGGCTGCCTCAGCTGTCCCAAGAGGTGAGGACCACGCGCCCCTCGGGGTGAAGGGCAGAGGAAGGTGTGCCTTTGCTCTTGGTGGTGGACAGGGTCACTTATTCCATGGACACAGGAGACAAAAGAATCCTTAGCCGTCCCCACTGAAAGGAGTGTGAAAGCTACAGACCCCCCGGTCGTGGGGAACAGAACGACAATTCGAGCAGCCAACCTTCCTCTTTCCTTTCCGCGATCAGAAACTTGAGGCTGGAAAGCTAATGTTTATCACTAATTTAGAGACTCATCTGTGAACTTACATGGATGCTCAGCAGTGTAGAGGGGGAAGAATGATTCTCCTTTACCCTCTGAGCTCCTGGCTGAGACCCGCCCCTGCAACTAAAGACAGATAAAAACAAGTTTATTCATACGTGAACCTCACGTACACGTGGGAGGGACCCAGCTCCCCGGATGGCCCGTGCCGCCTTGTAAAATACCATCAAGGAAGACGCTGGGCGGGGAGGCCAGGATCCAGCACAGCCGGCAAACAGGGCTTGAAGTCGGTGCCTTCCCCACCACTGAGACTCTGCTGTGGTTTGGATTCGTCCTCTTCCTGGTACAGAGAGGGAGCCGGACAGTGGCAATTTCCTTTACAAAAGGCAACTGTCCCCTACAAAGGGGACTCCCAGATCCTCTCTCTGCTGTTTCTCAAAATCGTCCTCGTGCCAAAGAGGCATCTTTTGGGATGACATATTCTGCTACCCTTCAGCAAGCTCTAATATCTAGAATAATCCTGGTAGTTTCCCCCAAATAACTATACATTCACTATCACCTATTGTCTGTGTTAAATAACAAAAATTGAGCTGAGTGTTTAAAAGATCAAATTGGCTTTACGAAAATTTGTGGATCCACAGCACCCCACCCAGCAAGTGGAGGGGAGCTCTGTGGGACCGCAGAAGAGAAAACATTTTTAACAAGGCAGAGAGGGAGTGGAAGAAAGGAAATTATTAGGAAAGAATGCATTGTTTGGGGCAGGGCCGCCCTTCTGGGGGAGCAGAAGGGGTCTATCAGGGGGACCGCCTAGTGCTGACCAGGAAACCGTGTCCATTGGTTGAAGGTCACATTTCTGGGGTTGGAAACTGCAGCCAGGTTAGATAAGTTCTGGCGTACTGACGCGAGGACCCTGACATAAGTGACTCCGTTCTGGGCCTGCGGTTTTCTTTTAACAAGTGTATTTTGTTTTGTCGGGTTTTTAACCGATCTGGTATTTATAGTTCGGTTTCCTCAGTGAATAAAGGCTGTGGTTTTAAGGTCACTGACACCTCCCTGCCCCCCCACCCCATACACCAGCTTGTCCCTTCTCTCTTAATTTTCCTTGACAGCTGGGCCCCTGCTTCTTCTTTTTTTTATTTTAAAAACCATTTTTAAGTTTATTTATTTATTTTAAGACAGAGAGAGAGAGAGACAGAGGGAGAGAATCCCAAGCAGGCTCCGCACTGTCAGCGCAGAGCCCGATGCGGGACTCAGGACTCACAAAAGGTGAGCTCATGACCAGAGCTAAAGCTGAAAGTCAGACACTTAACCCACTGAGCTACCCAGGCGCCCCTGGGCCCGTGCTTCTAAGCTCCAGGCCAAGGAGAAATCACACTCCAGAAAGATGATCTAAAATGTTAGTTTATGATCTTACACGTTTTCTATTTGGTTTGACAGAGACCTTTTGTTTTTTTAAAAAAAAATTTGTTTCAACGTTTTTTATTTATTTTTGGGACAGAGAGAGACAGAGCATGAACGGGGGAGGGGCAGAGCGAGAGGGAGACACAGAATCGGAAACAGGCTCCAGGCTCTGAGCCATCAGCCCAGAGCCTGACGCGGGGCTCGAACTCCCGGACCGCGAGATCGTGACCTGGCTGAAGTCGGACGCTTAACCGACTGCGCCACCCAGGCGCCCCTGACAGAGACCTTTTGAAGCCATAATGTAAACGGTGCTGGCTTCTCCAGCTAGACCCCGGGACCTGCCCTCTGCGGCTCACCTGCTGTCCCCACCCATCTGCATCCCACATTTTTCCTCAAACTTTTCTGTCCAGCTGATCTCTTACCTCAGAGGACCCGCCGGGCACAGCAAGGAAACTGAACGCCACCCCGCCCCCGGCCAAGCACTAGCCCCTACCCAGACCAGAGTGAGCTGTGAGAGGGATCCCCACCTGGCACCTGCACAGAAGGACCGTACAGTGACCCACAGAGTGACCGACAGTTCCCTTTACCTCATCATAACCCTAAATTCTCCCCCCCTCCCTCAGGGAAAAGCACAAGCCTCATTTACAGGTACAGTCGTGTTTCCTTAAGAACCACATGAACTCATGCTGGCCTTTGGACGAGGCTTCCCTACCTAAATATTCGTCCTAATCCTAAACAAAGGGGACCCATCCACCCTTGCTCCCGGACTTATTCTCCACGAGCTCCTTATTTGCTGCAAATAAAGTTTCCTTGTGCGAAGGCTCACCTGCTGTAGGTCCATCTGTGACTCACCAAGGAGTGAACTCAACGCTGGCTGGGTTACACTGGATTATATTAACACATCGATTCCCTTTTCCTATATAAATCTTACTTGATATCCAAAAGAGTCTAACTGTAGAGATCACACGTTGCCTGCAAAGGGGCCCCGGGAATGATGCTCTGAACCGTCCAGGGGATCCAGTTCCTGCTCTGGCCCGCAAGCTGTCTCTGTACTTTGTGGGGGTGAAAACGAAGTCCAGTGTGGGCTTCAGCAGCACCAGAAGAGCCCGTCTGCTTAACTGACGTATCTCCTTAGCGGGATGACAGTTCTCATGGTGAATCGTACAAGTGGCAGCGACATTCTTACCCGGTTTGTGTTTGTTCATCAATCAATCTAGCTCTGATTTCCTCCTTCCTGTCTGTTTGCAGAAGGTTTTGTTAAAAAATAAAGGGGAAGCAGATGAGCACAAATCCAGTCTTAACCAAGCAAGTAGGCCGAGGTGGAGGAGCCCCGGGGCGAGCTGCAGGGAACCAGCGCCTGTGCCCATGTCCCCACGACACCAGGGGCCGAAGGACAGACACGCGTTCCCACCCAGCTCTGAGAAAGAAGCGAATTCTTCCCTGCCTGCCACTGCCGTCTCCTAAGCGCCGCTTGGCCTGCACCAAAGAAGGAAGGAATTTGGGGGTGAAGCCCCCTTCCTGCCAAGCACAGACTGGTCACTCCTAGGAACGAAACGAGAAGAAACAAGCGACTTCGGTTTCCTTCTGCAACAAGCCAAAAGTGTCACCTGATCAAACGGTGAGGAGCTGTTTATTCCAGGCCGTGGGGCAGGGGGTAGGGCCCAGCTGCGGTGCTGCAGGGATGCGGGGGTGTGGGACACGCGGGGGACGGAGGGTGCGTGGGTGGAAAACCACCCACAGGCGCCAGCCAGGTGGGGGGTTCTGGCGAAACCCGCCCGATGGGATGCTTGCTGCAGGCGGGAGCGTGGTCTGACGTCGGGGGTGGGGTGAGGGGTCCGCTATCCACGGGGCGGGAATCCGGGCTAAACCGACTCAGCAGGATTCTTTGCCGAGCTCGTCTTCAGGGGCCGAGCAAGGAGCCTGTCTGAAGGTCGGGCACAAGAGTCCCGGTGAAGCAGCAGATTTAAATCCGCAGACACCGCGTGCGCGCGTGCTTAATTTCGGAAGCGGAGGAGGCGGAGACCCGCGTATTCCCTCCCTCGTGGTCCGGAGACGGGGGACAGCGAGGGCTTGCTGCCCCGGTTGTCCGGGAGTGCCCCCAAAACCTGTTCCGGGGACGAACCAGCCCGACAGATGC